AGTTGACAGTTTCATTCAGTCAAAGCACTTCCTATTGTCAATTCTATTGACAGTGTTAGCTATTGTGCTATCATTGAGTCATTGTTTTGGTGGAGTTTACAAGAAAAGAATGAACAATGTACTTGAAGTTTGGTTCTTGTTTAACTTATGTATCATGGTTGGTCTATCTGTAGCTATTAATGAAGACAGTAAAGTATTGATCTGGTACAATACTTGTTCATCTGTTATCATTTTTAGTTTTATTTTGATTGTTATTTATCATCTTTACCTGCAGTTATCACATATGAAATGTTATGATGCTCTAATTAAGAAGTTACTCAAGAAACAAGATAAAGATGATGATGATCAAGATCTCACCAAATCACATAAAACTGTTGATCAACAAATGAAAGAAATTGTACCAACTTCTACTGATGTTAGACTGAGAGATAATCGTGAATCAGTTGTTGATTTGTTTCAATCATAATTTATCTATTTATTACTATTATTAGCTACTTTATTTTTAGAAGCAGTAACTATAATTAATCTATTCTTCATTACTTTTTAGAATGTTCAGTTTACAGCCTCATACAGTGTGTGGACACTATTGTAATATTAATTAACTATTATTATTATCTTTTGCTGTTTTTGTTACTGCTGCCTTTCATTTTGTGCCTTTAGTTTCTTTTATATCAAGTTATTTCTTTAGTTAATTTGTGGGGAGTTTGATACAAAATAGCAGTCAAGTCAATGTACATACGTAACATGGTAGCATTACTAAGTAGGAGTATAGATATTATAGACTACATAACTACATTATAGGTTGTATAGTCTGTAATATCTATGGATCCATAGATACTGATTGATACTACAAATGTGTTTTTAGCATCTATGATGGATACTATGGTATAGTCTTGCATAGCCAGCCTGCTGCTAATAATAAAATAAAAATAATAATAAAATGAAAATAAAAAATTTGGCAAATTGCTTAACTTTGGTGATTAGCGAATTTTAATTTTGGCAAATGGCTATCAAATTGCCAAATTCGCCAAACTTATTACCTTCTAAAATATCCCGCTACACAGTTGTCTTTCCCTTTCAATCATACATGTACAATACTAGCTCCATGTAATGCATGTGTACATGTACGTACTTGTATGATGCAATTTAAACAAAAATTCAAAATCCCACCTCTCTTTCTCTCTCCTCCCCCATAGGGTAATGGAGTATTGCGTGTGTACGATATGGAGGACAGGTGCTTTGACTCTGATCTCAAGATAATGAACTCTAGGAGAGGAAAGATAGTCCATGTGTCTTGTCTATTGCTAGTGGATTATAACGTTTGGGTTGGATCACTTAATAAAACTATTCATATTCTTGACGTGGAGACACTTTGTCGTAAGTCAATCTGACCAGAATCAAACATGTACACATAGCTATACTGTGCATGTAAAATGTACATGTATATTGTATACATGTAGCTGGCATATTTTTGTGGCCTCAAATTTTCATTTCTTAAATTTTTATTGGAATTTTTGACTTGCAAAATTTTTGTTAATATTTTATTTGATGTTGATAAAATTTAGTGGGATTATTGAGACATTCTGCCGTAAGTCAATCTGGCTGGGGTTTAAAATGTAGCTATGCTTACATGTAAAATGTGCATGTACATGTACATGCACGTACATTTCAAATATGTTTTTCTTTTTTCTGTCTCTTTTTCTACACGTATCTCAACTCTCTAATTTAGAAGATGAGCCAAGAGATCTTGCACTGAGTAAGAGTGAACCAATGATAGTCTGGTCTTTACTTCTTAACGGGACAGTACTTGGATTTGATCCTGAGACTAGGGAGAGAGTTGCTAAAGTTTGTACATACGTGTACACATACACATTTATGTGTATTTATATTTGTGTCTTTATGCTATGAGATCATTTTGGTTTAACCTTTTCAAGTTATAGCCATTTTTTAAATGAGCCAAAATTTGAAAATACAGATGTTTTTTCTGGAAAATGGCGCAAAATCACCTCAAATTTTTATTACTTTTTCTGATGCATATTGATGTCCTTATGGTGTGTAGAAAGTTTGAGCTAATTCCAAATTCAATTTTTGAAGTTACAGGTATTTTAAGAAAATGCCAAAATTCTGAAAAATACTCAAGGCTATATGTTTTTTCCGGAAAATGGCTCAAAAATCACCCCGAATTTTTATTACTTTTTCTGATGCATATTGATGTCCTTATGATGTGTAGAAAGTTTGAGCTAATTCCGACTTCAATTTTTGAAGTTACAGGTATTTTAAGAAAATGTCAAAATTCTGAAAAATACCCAAGGCTATAGCCCATGGTTTTTTCCGGAAAATGGCTCAAAAATCACTCTGAATTTTTATTACTTTTTCTGATGCATATTGATGTCCTTATGATGTGTAGAAAGTTTGAGCTAATTCCGACTTCAATTTTTGAAGTTACAGGTATTTTAAGAAAATTTCAAAATTCTGAAAAATACCCAAGGCTATAGCCCATGGTTTTTTCTGGAAAATGGCTCAAAAATTACCCAGAATTTTTATTACTTTTTCTGATGCATATTGATGTCCTTATGGTGTGTAGAAAGTTTGAGCTAATTCCGACTTCAATTTTTGAAGTTACAGGTATTTTAAGAAAATTTCAAAATTCTGAAAAATACCCAAGGCTATATGTTTTTTCCGGAAAATGGCTCAAAAATCACCCAGAATTTTTATTACTTTTTCTGATGCATATTGATGTCCTTATGATGTGTAGAAAGTTTGAGCTAATTCCGACTTCAATTTTTGAAGTTACAGGTATTTTAAGAAAATGTCAAAATTCTGAAAAATACCCAAGGCTATAGCCCATGGTTTTTTCCGGAAAATGGCTCAAAAATCACTCTGAATTTTTATTACTTTTTCTGATGCATATTGATGTCCTTATGATGTGTAGAAAGTTTGAGCTAATTCCGACTTCAATTTTTGAAGTTACAGGTATTTTAAGAAAATGTCAAAATTCTGAAAAATACCCAAGGCTATAGCCCATGGTTTTTTCCGGAAAATGGCTCAAAAATCACTCTGAATTTTTATTACTTTTTCTGATGCATATTGATGTCCTTATGGTGTGTAGAAGTTTGAGCTAATTCCGACTTCAATTTTTGAAGTTACAGGTATTTTAAGAAAATTTCAAAATTCTGAAAAATACCCAAGGCTATATATTTTTTCTGGAAAATGGCTCCAAAATTACCCAGAATTTTTATTACTTTTTCTGATGCATATTGATGTCCTTATGATGTGTAGAAAGTTTGAGCTGGTTCCGACAACAAAATCCTGAGTTATGACCATCTGACAAAAGGCCACAATTACACATGATTACCACACTTAAGCTCAGTACTACAGTTTCAACTAAATTTCATAATTTTACTAATCCCTCCTCTTCCTCCTCTCTCCTCATAGATTACAGTCCCTAACATGTTACAACATACATTCTGTACCTGCTTCACTGTCTACAGGGACTTCCTTTGGGACGGTTGGTACTAACAGAGGCACCATATCAATACTATCCACTGAATACAGTGAGCAGCAGCTGAGGAATGAGATCGCTTTCACTGAAAGTGGAAAGACGGTTGAAGTGAAGTATCTCGCAGTATCCAGTGAAGATGAAGTAAGCAAATTTTAATACCCTATAGCGGTTTTTCATGGATAAAACTTTTGCAAATTTCAAAGATTTTTAAGATTTGTATAATTACATGTAAATTCCTTGAAAATGTTATAAGATGCCAGAATAGTGGAAATTTGCAAAAAAATTAATTTTGTGAACCTCCGGATACAGGTCATTTGCAAATATTATTACCCTCAAAACAACCTCTGTACACGCCCAAGAGTTGGAACATGGACCAGTCCTGATACAGGCCTGAATCATTACTGATGATCGAGCCTGGACCGAGGATTTGGGGCAATGTCCTGATCCGATATTGACGAATCAGCCACGATTTATGCTGGTGCCAGACCTGATCCGACAACGATAACGATATTCATTAAGCCTCATTATGACGTTTTTCTGTTATGCTCAATTCAATTAATACTTAATTATTATTCATTATTAATTTAAAATGATTTGGAATTATTATTAAAACCAAAAAAAAGATTATAATTGTTTTCTTTATCATAGTCTACCAATGTTCCACAAGTAAGACACTTCATGTTTTGTAACTTAAGACACCTAAAGAGCCATAAATTAAGAAGGCACTAAAATAATAAACTTACATTACTGAGAAATTAATTTCCCAAAATCTCTAACATTAATGAACTCTCGGTTCCATGTAGTGAAGCAGATTTTTCAAAGGTATCTTGTCACACATAGTCCTACAAAGCTTAGTTCCATAACATAACTATAATGAGGCATAAATTCTACAAAAGCAAAGGAACTACATACCTTCCTTAACCAGCATGATGAAGGCAGGTTCACAAAAAAATTCAATGCTATATGAAGTGAACTATAATGACAAATGATGATAATAAATTAAAACACTATGATTAAACTGACCTTAACAAGAGCTTTAAACAAGAAAGTTTCAGTTCATCACAACCTGAATAATGAATTTAGCTTTTCACATGAAATTAAACAAACCTAAGATATTCTTGTCTTGAAACTTAGTGAGATAAGGTAACTATAGAATGTATACTAGTGGCCTTGCTAAATTAATAAATTAATATGAATTAAAGGAGCACCTACTATACTAATATTTCCAGAATAATCTTCCGCATCAAAAATTCTAAGGAAAAGTAACAATTACACACATAATCAATAAACTATTTTACCACACTTGTGACTATCATTCATAAGTCTCTCAGTACAATATCTTCATCATCATGATCACTAATACATTCACCCTAATTAAAAACATAGTTACAATCACATGTAGTGAACCATTTTTACGCCTGATTTCTCATTGTCTTCACTAGTGTCATGATTATTGCAGAAAGGTCTTCTGGCTCTGTTTCAATGCTTGGCTCAATACTAGAAAGTTAACGGAGAATCCATAATGAAAGGTATGTACTTCTAATTATAGTCAATTAAACTGAAGTCATTAATCTCACAATAATAATTAGCCTAAATTTATTATAAGTTTGTTCATGCAGTTTATACCCCTTTGATAATTCCACCCAGGTCTCTACTTTCGTATCATAGAGATTTTGTAGGCAAGATGTGGTAAACTTTAATTGGAAGGTGTCAGTCGTTTTATTTTCCAGTCATGTATCTGCTCAATTAATTTATTTAGCTTGATTGTGTATCTACATGTGCCTACTTTTTACTCAAAATATCGTGTATCCTACTCATGTTTATGTAATAAATGGTTCAAAATAGCCTAAAAATAGTACCGTATTTCCTTAAATAGAAGCCGCATTTGAATAAACGCCGGGGTAGCAATAGAATTAAACTATAAATACGCAACACCAGCCTAGGAGTGACTCAGTAGTCTAGTGGGCAATGCCTGAAGTTCCAAAAGTCAAAAGCTTGAGGCCGCGGGTTCGAATCCCGCTCTGGGCCAAAGTTTTTTTTATTTTTATATATATTTTTTTGGAGGTCCAAGTATCATTTTAGGAAATAGACGCCCGGGCTTTTATTTAAGGAAATACGGTATAACATTTAATGTAGTCCACGGTACTCACATAACATCCAGTGATTTAGCCCTAGTGTATACAGCCAACGAGATTTCTCTTAAAGAGTCAGATTAAGATGATTTTCTTTAACAAAACATGTCAGATAGTCCACGCGGGGCTGCCATCTTGAAAAGCATCGATCTGATCCAGTACTGATATACAGCCTGGACCAGTGCTGATGAACAGACATTACTGTATCAGCTATGACTACATCGGGACTGAAATAGATACTGGTCCAGGCCAGAGCAACAGCCTCGATTCAGCAGTGATGGCCGTCGATGCTGGACCGTTATAGAATCAAACCTGGTCCAGGCCTGATACCCATCATTCACGGATCATGCATGGTAACTCTTGGGTGTGTACAGTAAAACTTCTCTAAAATTAATTAGATTTTTAAATAAATTGTTGTGATACTAAAATCATAGATATTAGAGTAAATGAAAGGGATAGGAAACCACCGTAAAATTTATAGGCATGTCATGCGTTGCCTAGCGACGTATGCAAGTTGTCGTTTTTCTTACCGGGAAACTAGGAAAATGGAGGACCATCACTGGACTTCTTGGCTTATAATTCGTGTCCGATATGGAGTACAGATCCAGTTCCAGATCAGCTGCAAAGATCAAGATCATATCTATCCATTGATACCTGGTTCAGAAGGACTGCACTAATGGTCCGAATGAAATCCTATCTTGAACTCCTACTGTCAAGTTGTCCAAACTGCCGATTTTGTTTTGTACCTTTTTCTGAAAGTCAATTTTATGAACCATCTATTGGTGTTTAAAAGACATTAACCAATGTTATAACCGAGGTCTTGAAACATCTTCTAATAGGAAATATTGTATGGTTTTGATTTCTAAGCAAAAAGTAGACCCAAATTTTGCTTTTGTTTTGTACCCTTAACTCGCCAGTAACAAATACTCTAGCCTTAAACTTTTTTGTATCAGTCTGTACTTCAAATGCGGAGGTCTTCCACATGTTTTGGGGCTTTCCTTCTATTTCATAAATAAAATAAAAATAAATATTCAGTTTTACAATTTCTCACAATTAGAGATAATTTTGAATGATACAAGAGCATAAATATCATATGAAAGAAAATAGAATATTTAGCACAGCCATAAAGAAGGTACTACATAGCAAAGAAGCTATTCATTTTGTTTCTGGAGCTCAGAATGCAGCAGGGAAGTGCCCTTGTCATCACTGCAGGACCTTATTCTAATTTTTCATACACCATTTTACTCTAATAATCCGTTCAATTTAATACGGTATTAGCAACTAGCATTTCCTGCCGGGAACGGTGGTTTCCTATCCCTTTCATTTACTCTACTATCTATGGAAAAAGCTGCCATTTTGACCACACCCACCAAAATTCAAGACGTCATGCACGTCACGTCATTGGATTTTGGTGGGTGTGGTCAAAAATGGCTACTCGTACTCATCAACGACATTCAAAGAAAGATTGTATTCAAACCAATGTTGATTTTTTATTATTTTAATGATATTTAAATACTTTAATATTTTTGTGACATGACTGTAATGAAAAAATACTGATATGATGGTCGTTGGCTGGACGGTTGATACTGGTTTGAATGGATCACGTGAGCTAGTGATAGCCTCAGTGCCTCACCTACATCCTGGTAAGCATGCATATCCTGCGACATGGCCGGCATGAAGTTTCAGTTCTAAAGGAAAAGCAAGTAAGCTCTCTAGACCTTGAGCAGTGGGCATAGACCTCTTACTTTTCCTTGATCTATGTCTTTTCCACTTATAGTTTCCCTTTGTCCGGCTTGCCATAAAGAAACTAAGAAATTGCATCACAACAGTAAGCATGGGTAGTTGTTCAGAATCCTTTTTTGCCTCTTTTTTCAAGCTAGTCTAGCAAACTAGGCTGCAAAAAGTCGTGGCACGACATAACGCTGCTTATAATAATGACTAACGAGAGCTGTTGCACTCATGTCCAGAAATGGAATGTCATTGATAGGAAATTTCTAGTATACTTTCCGGATACTGACTTTTAATTTTATACAGTGTAGTAATGGTAGAATAAGTTCAGCACCTTACAGCTTGAAAAGTAAAGAAGTTGATCAAAGTGCCTCAGTCTATATAGTTTGTTAAACACTATAGCTATTCTTTTGCCAAAATTGATCCTGATCAGTGACTGTTGTGATGGTACCCGACCTTCTAGAAGATACCACTGTCATTGACGCCATTTTTACATTGAGATTAATAATTTTTTGTAATTTTCTCTTTTTTGAAGGGTCAAAACTACAAAACTGTTTATTTTGAGGAGTTTGCCGGAGTGGAAATTTGAAGTAAAACTTTTTTTAAACACAATGGTGTATAAATTATGGGGTAGTATATGCAAAAAAGTGGTACCTGAACTTGGCAAAGTCGTGCAATTTTTGGCTACGGGTTGCATGAATCTCAGCCAGTGCAACACAAACAAGTTTCTCAGTGCCTCAGAACAACTAAATGAACCTTTATAATGATCTTTTTAACAGTTTAAAAACACAGAGAATGTTTAAAGCAAGAATACCATCAAAATTTGCATTCTGACACTGTTAGTGCCACGCTTGCCGTCAAAACGTCAGAATAAGAGGAAAATAGCCCCTGCACTTCAATTATAAGAATCT